TGCAAGGCGACCAGATTATGCTATCAGAGAATCAATCAGTAAGCAAACATATCTGGTAACAACTCCTTATTCGGTAACCCACCTCTTTCGGTAACTCCTCATTCGGTAACTCTTCCTTTGATTGTAACTCCTCCTTTGACAACTCCTCTTCCAGTAACTTCTCATTCGGTAACTCCTCTTCCGGAAACTCTTTCTTCGGTAACTCCTCCTCCTCCTCCGGTAACAACTCCTTTTCATTTTTCGGTAATTACTTCTCCTCCTCTCTTAACATCTCCTCCGGTATCTCTTCCTCTGAGATCTCCACAGAATTTAGCTCTAGAGAGGTAGATCATATGAGAAAGAAAAAAGTGAATGAGAGGTAAAGCTACAAGTCAGACCAGAAAGAGGAATCCGAAAAACTTTACATGGCATGTTATCGCCCCGTTTTTATGTTATAAGGCCAACTTCTAAGCCCAACTATTGACTTATTGCAAATATGCCTGTTATCGGTCTGTTTTCATGTTATAGGGCCAACTTATGAGCCTATGTCTCTCGGCCCGTTTTCATGTTAAAGGGCCAACTTCTGGGCCCATCTCTCTCGCTCGCTCTTTTTTTTTTTTTTTTAAGACTCTCTAAACCCTAAGACTTAATACACTTTTAAGAAACGGGCCAATACCTAGAACCAGTAAGAGGAATCTAAAGAACTTTCACATGGCATGTTTCCAAATTAGAGGCCCGACTTGTTAGCCCGTTTTTACGCTATTGGACCAAACTTTGGACCCAAGTGGGCCCTTCGTGTGATATTGGGCCGATAACTTCCAAATCAAGAGAAAGGATAATATCTAATTACCCTTGAAGCAATTATATGAACCAATTTGTGTTTGGTCTTCTCTTGATGATTTCCTCTTTGTTGATCTCCTCTTTGATCTTTGATCTTTGCTCCTTGATCTTTCTAGTCCATTTGAGCCACAAATGTATATGGCTTCTAAGTCTCCACACCAATGGAACTTTGAGATGAGAGAGGAAGTATCTTGAGAATACAAGGATGCTAGTACAAGATTCTCAAGATTGGTTTCAATCTAAACCCCTTTGAAAGATGAAAGTGTTTCACTCTTGAAAACTATCTTTTTCTCTTTCTTTGATCTCCCAAACCTATTTGGTTGATGTTGGATTGGGTTTGTGTGTTAAATTGATTTCCTCATTCTCATTTGTATTACTCAAAGTTAACCATTTAAGGTGTGCGATCCATTAGGTTCTAATTAGCAAGGTAGTGGGAAAATATTAGAACTCTTTCTAACCAACTGGAATTAAAACCCTCTTTTTAATTCTTCCTTTATTTGGATCGATCACAATCAATCCTAGGGCTTCCACAAGCCAAGAGTGACATCTAGCAATATATCAAGGCTACCCAAGCTAACCAGAATAGATGAAGAACCTATTCAGTTGGAATTGCAATGCAATACGGTCCTTCTCTTATACAGTGTTTCAAATCATATTATTAGGGTACGGATTGATTATGTAAACCCATGATATGATTTATAACCTCATGTGATTCAAAAGAACGTGATTAAGAGCAACTTTCTAAATCAAGCTCAAAATACTTTGGCTAAAGATTTGCTGAATCACATCTTGAAACATTCTCCTTCTTTATTGAAAGTAGAGATTCCTTATTGTACATTCACATTCCCCTATGATGAATTAAGAGATCCCAACAACACTTAAGACAAATCTTTTACGGCTTGCCTTTAAGAGCTATCAAAGATCAATAACGCATCATAGGACAACCATGATGCCTCAGGTTTAAGAACTAATTTGCATTATTGCAACTATGAGTTCTCGTTTGACATATAGATAAATACTCCATACGAGAACTACGGTTGATCGCGTTCAGTGTACTCATTCACTAATGAGCACCCACATACTTGTATTAGTGTCAACTACACAAATGGTTTGAGACTAACCATCCTCCCAATTGAGCATACATAATATGTGCTGATCTTGACGGTTTATCAATGCCCATTTGATAACCTATGATTAGGAACATTTTGGAATGCTACAGTTAGAGATTAAAGGTCTCCCGAATCTAATCTTCTTTAGATTACTTTATCTCTTATTTAGCATACCCTGGACATTTGTTTGTTTACATGATGTAAAAGATAACAAATTAAGTTTGCCCTTTATATATCATATATGAAATGTATTCTAAGGAGATCACATCAAATGTATTGGCTCTTAAGGCACATTTCTAACAGAGTTCTGCAGAGATTCCAGCGGAGAAACATAAGACAATTGAGAGGTTGTTGTTTTTTTTTTTTAATGTTTATGTTTTTAATTGTTAGATAATTGATTTTTTTTTTATAGTTGTTTTTTTCTTCTATTTAGTTAACCCTGGCTTAAAATGTTAAATTGTAGGAAACATATTCCTGATGATCTGAAAGCAAACAAGGCTTCTGGATCTGAAATTCCACTCAAGCTTAAGCATCCTTTTCCTCCTGATTCTTTCTTGGATGGTAACCGCTCTCGCTAACAATCCTCCCACTGCTTTTAGCAACGTAAAAAGATACACCACTCTTTTTCTTCTCCTTACATAAAAAAGAAGTGGCTGTTCTAATTTTAGTATTTTTATAATTGAACTACATCATTTATCTTCTTTTTTTTTTGTCTGAACCACGAGGTGGTCCTGGATGGGCCCCAACTATGGGTGGCACCTTTAAGCCTTAACCACAACCCAAACTAATCCCCGTTCACACAGGGTCGGCCCGTAAGGGGTAAAGTGCTGGCCAAAGTGGTGACTCCATACGAGAGCAGGGATCGAACTCCTGACCTCTCTTAAGGAATGAAAGTGCCGAACCACTCACAAATCTGAAATCCTATGAAATTATATATGTTTTCATGTTAAGTTTATATTACTACCTGTTTTCCCACACAAGGTAGGCAAAAATAATGCGAGTGACAATTTTCTTTGCAATGGTGGTAGCAACAATAATATTGCCTACTGATAGCTGAAATATATGACGGGGGTGGTGATTTTGGTTGGACTGTACCTCCAGACAATTTCTTTTCTTGGGATATTTATTTTCGTTGGGCTTCACAATATACATTTTTGGTTTGAATGCTGCTATTTTCACCCACCTGTCCTATTTACCCACACAACTTATTTTCAAAATTTCAAAGACAAAATTATCTTTTTGTAAAATGACTTCTAAGGACTTAAGGAAAAAAAAAAGGATATTTTAGAAATAATTAAAGGGTAGGGTATTTTAATTTTTTATTATCTCTTAATCACTAAACAATTACCCATATATTTTTTTCTATGTCCGACCCTTCGTCTTCCTCTTCCTACCCTCACCCTCCTTCTCTCCTTGGAAATTCCATTATATATGCTATTCTCACTGGCGCCGCAAATCACATCAATACATTCATCAACCTCAATTCAAGTACTGCTAGATAATTCAAAAGGCTAATCCTATAGAAACCTTATATCCTCTTGAGACCATTCAAAAAATTCAACTAAACTCTTCCTGCAAATCTAAAAAAATCTTTTCTTTCATCGCCACAACAAATATCTCAATAACTTTCCTAGTTGAAGTCTTAAAACAAATCGTTTCTTGATAGGTTTTATAATTAATAGTTAGGCTAAAAGTCACTTTTGTTCCTTGTAGTTTGGCACTTCAACTACTTTCGTCCATGTAGTTTCAATTCCGTCAATTTTGACCCTGTAGTTTCGTATTTGTAGCAATTTAAGGACAAGTTAGTATTCATGTCAATTTCTTTGATGATGCAAGGGACAATTTTGTCAACCCAAAATCTTTGAGCATAAAAGCTTGTCTAAAACTCCCCTAATTTCATTTTCGGGCTTGAAATTGGTCATTTGGGTTTAGGATTCTTAAAAAATTGGGATTAGTGCTTGAATTTCAAGCCCTAATATGAAATGGTTCAAACAAGCTTTTACGCTCAAGGGTTTTGGGTTGACGAAATTGCCCCTTACATCGTTAAAGAAATTGACAAGAATACAAACATGTCCTTGAATTGCTTCAAATACGAAACTACAATGGCAAAATTGACGAAATTGAACTACATGGTCAAAAGTGATTAAAGTACCAAACTACAGGGACTAAAAGTGACTTTTGGGCGATTTGTTATTGTATCCCAAACACCTAGAACAAAGTAATTATCTAAACCAATTATCTTCATATATAGATCTAGAAAATATAGAAGACGAGAGAGGCATGAATAATGATGCAGTGGCAGTGAGAAATCCGATACAACTACCATGGTGAAGAGAGGAATTGTCATGGGAGAATGAGTAAGCGAGATGGGTTTAGTGGCGCCGGTGAGAAATTTTGCGATAATGGAAATTTTGTGGGAAGAGGGTGGGGGAGGAGGAAGAAGAAAGAGGGAGATGGAAAGACTTTTTGGTAATTATTGCTTTAATTAGGATATAATACTAAAACAATTAAAAAAGACTTAGTTGTATTAGATGAGTTGGCATGCCACATAAGGTGGTTTATAAAGGGTATTTTAGGAATAATGATGGGTGGAAAGATAGGATCGTGTTTTTTCAAATTTACAGAGTGAATGAGAAGATAAGGTGGGTGAGAAAATAAAACAGATGAATAGAAATAACAACCATATATATATATATATATATATCACAGAAGTATGTATCTTTATTTGATTCAAAATGATATTTGAAATGAGTGACCGGCCGGCCAAAAATTGTCAAACAGTACGCTCCAAATTTCCAATCACTAATCACAACATCAATCATTTCGTTTACATTTTGCCTTGTCTGACCTGGCCCCACTCGAAGGAAAGGCAAAGACTTGACCACTCCGGTTTTGGAATGTACTCAACGGCAAGAGCTCCAAATGTTCATGTGGGTCCCACAAAGTATGTTAATCCGACGGTATGACTGTATCTTATGGTTCAAACTTCCCGGTATGAGTGGTACAGAGGATTGCAACCCGAACACAATGTAAGTGTTAAAAGGCGTTATGAAAATTGAAATTCCTCGGGGAATGAAAATCTCAGAGTCAAGAGTTCCTCGGTGCCATTTTCCAACCAATTTCTTTCCTTTTTGTTTTTGTGAATCGTTTGTTTGATCAATCGGTTCCAGAAAGTCAGAGAAACGAAATTGGAAGCTCCTGCTCTGCTCCTGCTCCTCCCCGGACAAGCTGGGCCGCGTTTGGCTTGCTCCTCTCGCCACTGAAGATTAAGGCAGGCAATCACCTCGTACGTTTTACTTTCTCGTTATTAATTATCAATTACTTTCCTTCTTCGTTTTTCATGTTAATATTTCCTGATTCGGTCATGAGTTTTAACTTCATCTCCACTTGTTTGAACAAGCTGAATTTAAATTGGTCATTTTCTGTAATCAGATTAGCTGAGCTAGTTTGCTGTAATTAATTTGACTCACACAGCATGTTTTTTAAGTTGCAAGTTATTTGTTTTTTCAGGGTTGGTTGAATGGTTTCCTTGCCATGAGAGCAAGAAGTTCACTGCTGAAGCTGTAAAAGCTGCTGACTTATTTTGTGTATGGAACACCACCTATTGCTTGCTGGGACTCAATCTCTGTGATTGTAGAATCATAGGAATATGGTGTCTCCGATACGCATGTATGAAACTTCTAACTCTTGTTTTTTACTTGGGACATTCTTTATGTTCATGTTTCGACGACGCTCAAAGTTCAAATTGTTCTGCAGTGGAAATATTAGAAACCCCAATGAGAAAATGCGGCTTGTTGTCACAGTCTTCGTTGGAATTGTATTAGGCTTCTTTTTAGGAGTTTCATTTCCAACACTCTATTTGACTAAGGTGCACGGTTTTTCTTTTGTATGCTTGTGTATTTTGATTCATTTGCTTCTGAATCCTGATCATATAAAGAGTAACATGGACCTCCTATTGTGTTTGAATCTGGTAGATGAATCTTCCATCCAGCCTTTTTCCTTCCATTGATCTTTCGTATATAGAGGACAAGTACTCCGGGTTTTCAACCCAAGCACTGTTGAATGCCTGGTCTTCTTTGAAGGGCAACACAGACAACTCTGCAAGATATGTATCTAATGAGGAGGAAAAGGTACGTTCATTCAATTTTAGTCATACTTGTGCAGTACACATGGGTTTAAGCCTTCTCCTAGGCTATTCTGTTATTTATATCATTCTTGTAATATTAATGAGCAGAAATTGCTTTGCCTTGTCAGTGAAGGGAGTTTAGATACTTCTCTGAATTCACATCCCTCAGATGTTCCCTTATAGTGTTCTTAGAGGCAAAGTTATAATGTCCAATGAAAGGTTATACTTATTTTTGACAATTATTTATTGAAGACCTCATGGAGTAAAAGTACATTGGTGTACTATCTAATGATGCATACTTTTCTTCAAGATATTCTGATGTTGTAATTTTTCCAGGAAATTTGGCAGCATCTATTAATGTCCTCATCTTTATGTGCTGGCACTGATTACTAACCATTTGACTATAATGCAGATTTGGGTTCCAACAAATCCTCGAGGTGCTGAAAGCCTACCCCCAGGCATCATTGCATCTGAGTCGGATCTCTATCTTCGCCGACTGTGGGGTCTGCCCAGTGAGGTGTGCATCTGCTACCATAAATTTAGCATGAAAGACACATCTGATCTCTAGATTCCTCTCAGCCTGTGTAGTTATAGTAGAGTGCTGTTCGGTTATCCTGTCCTCTCTTTAGAGGATTGCTAAATATTGCACTTAATTCCAACAATGACAATTGCTCTGTTGTCACTGATGATTAGATTTTGTGTCAGATCTGTTCTCTAATCTGAACCTTTTCTTGTGGAGGTGGCACGTGCAGGACTTAATCATCAAGCCGAAGTATCTTGTAACCTTTACCGTAGGCTATGCTCAGAAAAATAATGTTGATGCAGCAGTGAAAAAGGTCTGATCTCTCTGCAAGTTCATTTGTACAGCTCTCTCTCTCTCTCTCTCTCTCTTGCTGAACGTAAATTTACACAGTTCTCAAAGAATTTCACCATTCTGTTGTTTCACTACGATGGGCGGACAAGTGAATGGGATGAATTTGAGTGGTCAAAGCGGGCTATCCATGTGAGCATTCAGAAGCAAACTAAATGGTTAGAAAGAAATTATCCTCTTCATATATTTGAAGTTTGTCCTTACAATTCTGCAATGGATTTATCTTAACCCTGCAAAAGTTAAGTTTTGATACAAGCTTCCTGGAAACTGCTTCCAGGTGGTATGCCAAGCGGTTTTTGCATCCTGATATTGTGGCACCCTACGACTACATATTTGTTTGGGATGAGGATCTTGGTGTGGAGCACTTCAACGCAGAGGAGTGAGTGATGGAAATTCATTGGGCTGCTTTAATTGAAAATTATTGCTCGGATGAACTAGTATATTAAGGCTTAATCTTCTTTGTATCAGATACATAAAATTGGTAAGGAAATATGGTTTGGAAATATCTCAGCCTGGTTTAGAACCAAATAATGGGCTAACATGGCAAATGACGAAGCGGAGAGGTCACAGTGAAGTTCACATGTAAGACTGGAAAATTTTCTAATGTCGTTGTATTCCACTCCTCGCATTGATAATATATCCACTTGACATTGGGTTGGCCAAATACAAGTGATGATTCAAATTGTTGATTGACAGTATATTTTGTTCAACCTCTTCCTACAGGCTGACAGAGGAGAAACCTGGTTGGTGTAATGATCCGCATTTGCCACCTTGTGCAGCGTATGTAAAGATATCTTCTCCATCACCATTGTGGAAACTTTTGGAATGGGTTTCTAATACATCCTACCATGTATACCCAAATGTGCAGGTTTGTTGAAATTATGGCACCTGTATTTTCCCGGGATGCATGGCGTTGTGTTTGGCACATGATTCAGGTATATATTATTATCTTTCTCTGTTCGAACTATTGCGAGTCCTTTAGGGATTGCTCTGTGGCTACTTCCAAAAACTTTTCCCTGCTTTTGCAGAATGACCTGGTCCATGGCTGGGGTCTGGATTTTGCTCTTAGACAATGCATAGAGGTTCAAAACAGATTTCTCTTTCTGCCTTAATTATATTACGCCCTCCTCTTTGTGATTGTAATCAGGGTCTTCGACCTTTTATCTTTGCTTGGAAACAGCCTGCACATAAGAAAATAGGAGTCGTGGATGCACAGTGGATAGTCCATCAAGGTGTTCCATCACTGGGGAACCAAGTAAATCTGAGCTTTTAACCTCAACTGATATATTATTGATTTAATGTGGAATAAACTGTACTCAGTGACTCACCAAGATTTTTTTTCTTTTCTTTTCTGGACAGGGGCAAGCAGAGCGTGGAAGAGCACCATGGGAAGGGGTATTTAACAACCTCTCTGTCCTTTATTTGTCTCTCTCTCTCTCTCTCTCTCTCTCTCTCTCTCTCTCTCCTTTTTTGTGTTTCTGTACCAGTGTACTTGTTTCGACCTGGTGTCATGGACATACAGAATTGTGGCATTTCTAGTGAATTGACAATTTGACACTATCTTTTTACACATAAGAAGATGAGAGCATTGAAATTTGTGAATTCCTTGTGTCAGGTGAGGGAGAGGTGCAGGAGAGAATGGACAATGTTTCAAGCACGAATGACCAGAGCAGAGAAAGCATATTTTGAGGCAATGGGAGTTGATCCCCCAAATTCAACAGCTCATTAGAGGGTTTATGATTATGGCGAGAGTAACTTGTACAATTACCACTCAAGTGTTCTTACACAAGTTACCTTCAATTTGGCTGTAATTGTATCGTTCCTTGCTACATTCTAGACTTGTGGATGTGGTTTTTATCTTTTTTAGCTGGCTCTCATTTTCAAGAATTGCACTTTTGGGTATAGATAGTCGTATAGATTGAATTCTTCTCTCTTCGTAGTTAATGGAATTCATTAGATGATGGATTGGTCAAGCTTACCAACCATCCGATGGTTGACCAAACTATATGGTTTTGTAATTCTGAACCAAGGTGATGTCTTAGTGAGTTTTGCCTCAAAGAATCGTTTGATCATGAACTCAAGTTCTCACAATTCAATTTCTTAAATGATTAATGCTACACTTAAATTAACACACAAAAATATGTTACATTTTAAATTAAAAGAAAAGGTAAAAGAAAAAAAATCTCAATTTTTATGGCTATAATAAGCTTAAAAAAGAATTGGCCGATCCTCTTGTAGTCTTGTGTACTTCGCCAAAGCTCCAAAACTTGTGAGACAAAGAATCAGATTGCAATCATAGTTAGAAATAAGTTTTGGTAATTGCCTCTTCCAGCTCTTTGAAGTCCCATGCATTGTCCGCAGAAAATTCCCCTGCCAAGTAGATAGGTAACTACTAGTTAACAATATATTAATTTCAACAACTTAATCTTCAATATATGCTTTGGATGGTATAAGTTTCAATATCGATCAATGAAATTAATCAGCATGTGGAAAAAATAAAGGTCAAATTATTGCAATTAATCAGCACTTCAAAGTCAAGAATTAAGGCTCTTACCAATTGAATCTCTTCGAAGAGCAGTTAAATGGGCACAGCTGCAAATGAAGAGTTTAAAATACGTCAACCCATAATCCAGATTATGAAAAAGAAGCTCAAACAAATTTCATTTGACAGATAAAAGTTCTATCTTCTCTTCATTTGTAAAATACTTCAAGTATAGGATGACAATTATTTAAAGGGGGAGATTTCACAGTCAAGAATGAGTCTCTTAAAACTGATTACCTTCCGAGAGCCTTCCCCAAATCTGCACATAGCGACCGAATGTATGTCCCTTTGGAGCAAGTAACCCGGAAAATCAAATTTTGTCTGCAAAAATACAATAAATCATAAAAATATACAGGCTCAAGAACATAAGAGCTCAGAACTTCTAAAGTATCATAAATATATGAATACCTGGACACACTAGATACAATTTAGCAACAAAGAGTGGTGTTACAGTGACAAAGTTTGTTAATTAAATAGGCAACAGTAAACAAATACCAACAAAAGTAGGGTACCTGTCATCCAAGCTGCGCTCAATGTCAAACTGGAAGATTGATATACGTCTAGGTGAGAGCTCAATGCTTTCTCCTCTTCTTGCTTTCTCATACATCTTTTCACCTCCAACCTGTTGCATGTTAGTGAAACTTGAGTATGATTAAACATGTTAGAATCCACAGAATATATTCATGCGATTCAGAAAAGGAAAACATGAAGTTTCCTGAGAGTTGCTATGTCGTAGGCAAAAAGTTCAAACAAAATATAAGAGTTTGAATATGCCAATAATTTAGCTGAAGCCTGTGCTACACTTTTCACCAAGCTTGCTGCTTATATGACATTTTACATTGAAACACACGTTATTTGGACTTAATATATGAAATCGCCAGGACTCGACTATGTCTCTGCTAACACCTATCTTAGAGTCATCACTATATGTAGAACACAAAATGCTTACTTTGATGGCAGAAAACATTGGAGGTACTTGCCAGATCTCCCCAGAAAAGGATGCAGCAACTTTTTTTATGTCTTCATCTTTGATATGCTCCCAGGGCTCACGCTGAATGACCTGCATAAGAGAGTGGTGAGGGGGAAAAATTTAGACCATGTATAAGCTTGCATGTATAAGCTTGCACTGAAATACTGAACAAAAGGGGCAATAATAGTAGTTCTTAGAGACTAGTCAAATAAGTTCATCCACCAGACAATATTTACAACTGCTATGATGCATTATAATTGACGTTTCAGTAATAAAATTGAATAAAGAATTACATAAGACTAAAACGGCTTTCCCAATCTATAGGTCAGAATGTGGATAACTATGTACTCTGGTTTTAGTTATTATGATTTCAGAATAGAGAACATATATACAAGCAACCGCAAGCATATAATTTTAGTCCATAAAGAGATTGACGTTGGTCATAAAACATAAACACACCGGTGAATCAGCATCCCAAGTTGAAGTAGCCTCCCCCAATCGGAAAACACCACTGTAACCCTTGATCATACCTTGGTATCTGTAGTAATATATATTAAAACTTTCTGAAAATGTCAAGTAAATATTTTAGTTTCACAACCTAAGGCACACCATCTAATGTGGCCTACTAGCAATTGAACTAGATGAATTGCAAGGCATCCAAATACCTACCCGTCTACCACCTTAGTGGCTTTTCCAACACATACAATTAATAAACCAGTTGCCATAGGATCAAGAGTTCCAGCATGCCCTACCTGTAATCCACCAGAATATAAGTTATATGAGCATTTATTTATATGGCAAGGTATAACGCAACATCTGAAACTGAAAGGCACCTTTTTCACTTTAACTAGGCGACGTAGCTTTCCACAAACTGTAAAAGAAGTCCATCCTGTATTGCAAATTGCAATATAATTCCTTTTTTTTAGTTTTTTTATTCAACAAAAGCTTAACAATGTTGCCAATTTTTTTCGAAGTTGCAACAAAATATTGAAAACAAGCAGATGGAGATATGAAGAAGAGTACAGGAACAGATTTTAATGGAAAACAGAGACAAGCAATGTAGAGAGTAGAGACTCACCTTTGGGTTTGTTCACCAAAACCACAGTCCCATAGGGACCATCCCATTTGGGAGGAAGCTCAGTAGTCCTTGTCAAAAGATATGGCTCCCCATTACCAACCTCAGCATCTTTATTGGGGACTTTCTTCAAACACTTAAAGAAGTCTTCCACCTTCTTCTCTGTAACATCTTTACTCACATTGCTCACCAAATCTCTCTCGCCCTTTTCTTTTCTCTCTTCATCTTCCTCAAAGAACACCAACCCCTTACTATTATTACTCTCCACTTCCTCACCATCCCCATCCTTCTTCTTCTTTCGCTTCACCTTCCCCTTCACATTATTATTATTATCACCATTGGCATTGGGACTGGATTGACCTGGTTCAAGAAACGCCTTGTCGAGACACTGATCAGGAAAGTACTTCTTCTCCAGCTGGTACACCATCTTGTAATGCTTGTCCTTCTCCCATGGATATGTAAACGTGTCGTAAAAGTAGAGCTCCTCCTCTCTCTTGTGCAACGTGTTGAACTCAACCACCTCCGGCTTCAACTCCACCAAACTCTCCTCCTCCTCCCTCCGCCTTTCATCTTCTTCCGAATCGATTCCGTACATCCTCTTCCTCCTCTTGTTGTAGTACTTCCTCTTCGACTTGTCCATCTCCGCCGAAGCCAGCTTCTCATCAAGCCAGTTCTCGAAACCCAACTCTGAGACGGAGGCGGGTTTTTCCGGTAAATCTGATTCGGAATCCGGGGAGTGATCTGAGTCGAGTTTGCTGAGTCGGGCGGGTCGGCGGTGAGTGTGGTCGAGCGAGGACTGAGTTGGGCGGTTGACGATCAGGTCGTACTGAAGTGGGTACGGAGTGGAGGTGGTTGAAAAAGACATCGTTGAGGGCGGCCATGGTCGAGAGAGTACGGCTCTGAGGATTGGGTGTGGTTGCAGTAAGCGAGAGAGTGTGAGTGTTGGACGAAGGAAGAGAAGGGACAGAGAGACTGGTTTAGCCATTGGAACGCAGCTGGAGGACAGAGGAGCTGGAGAGGGATTGGGCGTCGTTTGTCATATTAACCGAGAAAAAGAAAACGGAATGTCGTTTTCCTTGAGAAAGTGAAAACGACGCCGTTCTCTCGGCATGTGGCATGTCATAACACATCATCATACTGAAGTGTCCGCCTGAAGGCAACTGGAGCGAATTTTGTCACTTTAAAATTTTAATCAGTCTCAAATTTTCAGTTTTTCCCGCTCGTGGCTGCGTTGTGAGCAATAATGGTGGAGTCAACAGCTTCAGGAGCAGCAGCTTGGGAAGACGACGAAGACTGGGAGCTCGTGAATGAAGACGGCTTCGTTTTCAAACGCAGGAAGAAGCGCCGGGTCGACCCATCTGCTGACTCGTCGCTCCGGGCTCCACCGTCTGCGTCTGCCGCCGATCTACAGGAGGATGCCGAGAAACTCCGGAGAGAGCGGAAGAAGAAGTCGCTTTTGAAGCTTAAAACTCAGTACCAGGCGGAGATCGACCAGTGGGATCTTTTGTCGAGCACATTGCGCGCTGTTGAAGAGAGGACATGCCATCTTCAAGAACAACAACAGCAACATCGATTGACAGAGAAAGACCGAGAGAAAACGGCGTCGTTGGCTGGTTCGGGTCCTTCTGAGCCTCAAGGGTCGGAGTCCGTTTGTGGGTCAGTGGTGGATGAGCTTCTCTTGCAGGTAAAAGGGCATTTCTTTCCTTTGGTTTTACAATTGTTTAGCTGGTGGGGAATTATGAAAATTGAAAGATTTTGGGTCTTAGGGTTTTGCAAGGCCAGAAATTTATGCTCCACGACACCAATTCGGGGCTCAGGTGAGCTGATTTTGGCATTATTACACTTACCCTGTGGCAAATTGAGAACAAAGATTTCTGTGATTTCCCAATAATCAAACATCATTTTAGCGTTCCGCTATTATTTTCTTTGAATTCCTTGATTTTGCCCTGGAATATTTTGCTTCCGCTGAATATAAAATTACAGTGATGCTTGCTTTTAGTATCATCAGTGTTTATCTTATGAACGTTGCCTCGATCCTTATTGACCTTAAAATTGAGTTACCAATGGAGAGTGAGGCGGAGAAGAAAGCTTTTTATTTTTTGGGTTAAGGTTGTGCGGTATGGCGAAATCCTTCCTCGGTTCCACTGGCACAATATAATTGCAATCCTTAATCCTTCTTCCTCCATGCAGGCAGAAGCCCAGGAAGCTATCATTGGTGATGTTTCGAATCTGTGTGACATAGCGGAAGCAATGTGTAGTGAACAAGAGGAACAGATTACTCAATCTCTACTCGATCTTCCAATCTGGGGTTCACCACGGGAGCTCATGAATTCGCTATGTGACCCGTGAATGAATTGGTTCTAAGTAGCTTGTTGGTGGCTGTGGTTGTTTACTAAGATCTTGAAAGAAAAATTTGAATCATGTTGCTCTTCCACTGGCAGCTGCAGCTGTAGCCTGTATTCATAAAATGCTCAGGAGGTAGGGAGTAGGAGATATTTTCTTTTCTGGTAATGTGAGTTAGCATGAGTGAGTTATGTAGCCAAACTAACCACAAGATATGATGAGGCCTAGAAATTGGAAAGTGTTTTCTCATCACGTAACCTCAGCTCAGCACAGAAAAAGGGAAAGAGAGAGAGAGTGCAGTGTTTCTTGGTTCTGATCGAGCTTAGCTTTTTGCTGATTGCTGTGTGTATTATTCTTAGGGGTGTTTTTTTTTTTTTGGGTGGGGTCTCAAGATCTCTATAGCTCTAGCTCTAGTGGTGGTATGTTGTATATGCTCTATTGATCATAAATTGTATTCTAATTCATGCCTTCTTATAGAGATTACTTTGAGTTTTAGTTTGGGCCAATGTACTTTTGATTGAAACGTTGCCGTCAATAGAAATAGAGAGACATTGAGTGTTGAAGGTCGTCTTTTCATTCAGTCGTGCTCTGATCTCAACATTCTCTACACATGATAATAAATTGATCTTTCAACTCCTCTTGGTCTCTGTTAAGGCTGGCATAACTTCGTTCCCTTATAATAATAAATGGAGCATCTACCAAAATTGACAGTTGTACCTTTGAAATTTGGAAGTATAGGCATTCAAGCTGACAGCAATTGAATCAAATTAACGTCGTTCCCTTTTAGTAATGGAGCATCTACCAAAAATTGACTGTTCTACTTTACCAATATAAAGCAATGAGAGACGGGGAGAGAAGGGAGGGAGGGTGTCAAGAACAAAAGTGAAAAGACCCCAAGCACTCGCCTATTTTGTGAGAGTTTGAAGATCAACCTCATTTAGAAGAGAGGGAACGACTTGTATCGGTTCAAGTTTAAAACCAGCCTTTTGGCAAGCATCCTCTAAGAGCTTCACTTGTGAAGGACCATCTGGGCAAAATACGACTACAGCCCCACCGCTACCTGTGAATTTGGATGCTGCACCCACCCTTCGGGCCACCTCCACCATTTCTACGTTTAAAGCGCCAAGAGCATCATCTCCAAACATGCTTCTGCACAACATCCATGTACCAAAACTGAGCAGCCATAAGATACATAAAATGCTAGCAAATATGAAGATGGTTCAAAAAATAAGGTGTGACTCCAGCCCAGCTGAGTGTCATGTAGGCTGAGAAGTGGTGAGGATAGTAGCTGGGTAAAAGTCTTATTTGCCCATCAAAAAATATCACGTGCATCACATGCGATCAATTTTGATGGAGAAACTAACAGAATTGACGGAAAGGACAAGTGGTATAACACGATATCTAATTGAAGGACGACCATATCAATTTTTGGGGTTGAGAGACGAAAAATAAAGTGGGGTCTTATTTGAGGGACCCTTGCTACAGTTTTGCTACCTTTTTTTGTTTTTATTTATCCAGCTTTCTGGTCTGTCAAGGGGATTAGAAAGTGAATAAGATGTGGCATACAAATGTACAGTTTGTGCAATCAACCTTGTGTGGCAACAGTCTGAACAACATCATGTTGTGCAATCACCTTCCGTTTAAAATTAATTTTTTATACTCTAATTCAGTCCAAATAAACAGATATGAGAGCTTCTGGGATCAGAGTCGGGCAATCACATAATCAAATTGAGTCAAAATGTAGATATCTCAAACCTTCTAAAGTCAAAATTACGGTTCATGAGCGCTGCTAGTTTAGTGTAGTCCTTTTCAAGTAATGCCGTCCTTCCTTCTAGTGCAATATTTGCAACTTCCGTCATGGATGATATTATAAACTCGTCGCCATTGAGCCACCTTTGACGAACCGTACTATGTACCTGCCCTTACAAGTAAATAAATGTGTTAATTGTTGTACAAATTGCACAGCAGGTGGGAAACAATGAGAGAGCACTAACAACGTGTAAGGCTAACCTTCCCGGAATCACTTGGATTCTCGGCATAGACAAGGTGAAGAGGTGGGAGGAGACTAACATCCATGGGTGTGTAAATGCCATGCCCCAAAGTATCCATGTGCTCCTTGTCAAATTCCTAGGAAGTTAAAAAGTTACTACAAGTAGAAGCAATGTAGGGACTGGTTGAAATGTGAAAAGGAGAGGCTAGGTAGGGAATGGTTGAAATTTGAGTACCATGTAAACAAGGCCACCATACACCTGGGCAACACGATCTTGAAGGCCGGCAACAATTCCAAGTTGCTTCTCGGCACTAAGGACGAGGCCGGGGCGGACCTCGACTTTGATCAAATGCCTAACCTTGTAAAAATCAAGAAGGCAGCTGAGGGCTGCACACACAATAGCACTAGACCCTGAAAGTCCTGTCTGAAAGTGAAAGAGAAACATCATTACTTGCTACTTTACTGAATCACTAAAATTAAGTGTAATGGAAAATTAGCTGATAATACCTGTCGAGGGATATTAGTATCATATGAGAGAGTGAAATTTCGAGGCTCTAACTGAATCTCGTTTTCTTTGCAATAATCAAGGAAGACTTTGCAAATTGCCATCAGCAATCGGACGCCTCCATAATAACCCTCACTATCTAATCGATTCACCTGTTTATTTTTATTTTTATAATTCAATTCATTCGCAGAAACTCAAGATTTCAATTTTTGTGTAATTGCAATTCAAGTGTAGGGAGGTACCAGGTGGTCTAGGGATTTGAAAACGACGAGGTCGTGGGTGGGGTGGGGTTGAATGACGAGATCATCGGACGGCTGCAAACACACGGTGGCCCAGAAGTTGCCAAGGCTGAAGGAGATCGTCCGGCCGAAATACACGTCACTCGGGTTCCCAAGCAGGCCCACCCTGGCGTAGGCCCTGTGCTCGATCAACGACGCAGTTTCGCTCTTGGCCTGGTCATCACCCATTTTCGATTTGAAAGTTCAGCTGACAACCACTGGATCTTCGAACTCAAACTCCTGCGTTTTCGGGTGAGCTGTGAGCACCTGTTATATTGCTGGCTGTCAATGTGCAGTCGTTTGTCTGACGTTGTGAATCAGGCGAGACTTCCTTTGCCGCGTCGCTACGTTCGGAGGCGGCGTCTGTTGGGCCTAGCCCACTTCACTTCTTCTACTTTATCTAGCCACGTCACTACTGACTCATTTTCTATTTTATTCTTATTGCTTCTAATTTTCTCTTCATTAAAAGCCATTAATTTTAATTAATCTAACCAAATTCAATCACTTTTACCATTTTTGCCCAGTAAATAGACTTCTCTCTGTCAAAAGTACAGTTGTTTTTCTTTCGGCTTAGGTGTCTTTTTCTGTTGGCTAGACGTATTGTCCCTATGAATATATATATATATATATATTTTTTTTTTTTAATTTTTTTTTTTTAAAGGAAAAGAAATATGAACCCTTGCACGGGACTTGTAACCCAAGTGAAAAAAGAAATGTAAGGAAAAGAAATATGAACTTTTGCAAGGGCCTTGTAGCCAAGTGTTAAGAGCATTTACCATCCATTCGAGCTCCTAAATTCGATTCTTCCTTACAGACCTGAAGGATACTGGAAAGGGAATAAATTGAAACTTTGAACAATTACCAATCAAACGAGTATAAATTAAATTTGCGGAGGAAGAAAAAAACAGTTTGATCCAGAATCTTCGAGTATTAATG